TCACTGCATCAGAATTATGTACTTTTTCTTTTTCTCTACTTACATGAGCAATAAAAGCAATTTATTATTATTATTATTTTAGGGTTAGTATCACCCCTGCCCAGGGGGCTGCACGTGTTAACGTGATTTTTTGCCAAACTTGTGTCCCCCTTGAAAACAAAATCGACGGGTCTGAGCGTTTTTCTAAAAAAAAAAACTGAGCTGCCAGTAAATGCGTCTGTTTCGTTTTCGATGCGCCACCCTGTATATGTATAAAGGGCACAGGATCACCATTTTGTGCAGCATCAGGTGGTTCACGATGTAATTTTAACTTTCGTTTTAAGTACTTTTAATCCGTTTTAATTTGTTCCTGACATACAGCTATGTGTAGTTTATATTAATTTTGACGAATGTACCATGTATCCAGCAATCACCAGGTTACTGGTTGTTTCCCTTAACCTAAACGTTATTAACGTTTGGCAACAATCTCACATACGACTCTCCTGATGAAGATGGCAAAGTCCATTGAACGTTAGAGATTAATAAAGTATAAAGAGTCCTCTTTGCTTGAATTTTGTCGAAGTAGCCAACAAAAGGCGGAAGCTTTATTTTTCATCTAACTGGTCTAAATGACAATGACCACGTCCCAAAAAAAAAATATATCTATATATATAGATATTTCATTTGCAAAATTTTGTGATGGAATATATGATGATATGAAAACCCAGGAACGGTTTTGATGGAAATCGACCCATTCACAAATTTATTTGACAAACGTCGGCAGCTATTAAAATGTTTAAATCATTCCTTGGGGTAGAGTATCAAATCCACTTTCTATCAGTGATTCTACTTTTCGTTTCCAAGATTGGAGCTCCAGCTAACTCCCTTTGCATTTAGCAGTGTATTTCAAAAGTATATTTTACCAATGGACAGTTAAGGCCCATTCGGTACACCTGCGTAGCATCAAACATGAATAAAATATCCTGTTCAATGCGTCTCTGAGATAAAATGTCATCAGTGTCAGTATAAGTTTGAAACACAAATTTAAAACTTTGTTGGGTTCAGATACCTTTTCATAAAAAATTGGGCTCAAATTTTGCTTAGCGCTATTGATATTCCTGAGATTTTTCTACGAAAATACATAGATTATGACTAAATTTAATAAACACGGTCGGTCCAGTTATCCGGTTATACTTACGTTTAAGGAAGTCACTACATGAAAAACTGAATATACTCGTATCAAGGTGGACATAAAGCATATGATTTTAATAGACAATGCTCATTCATTTTTAATACTTTGAATAGTTATAGATGCAGATATCCTCCGAAATACTACCATTCCGCAATAATTATTACAAGAATAACATAACGAAGCAACCAAACAAGAGCAGTAAAAACTGTCTAATAAGTCATAAATAACAAGTCTTGCACAATTTTTTTATACTACGTAACTACCCAGAGGATAAAAATAATAGGTAAGTGCTGATACGTTTACAAATCTCGGGAATTTGGGATGAAGGAATAAAGATGTTTGTGTTGCTATTAACATTCCTAGACAATAAATTGGTCATAAATATTAATTTATTTTAACAAAAGATGACGAATCAGTTAGAGTGTATTCTATATACTTTATTTTGCAAAATAAAAACAAATCGTATATGATAGAGATATAAACAAACACTAGATTGCTATGCATATGACAGCCATCCAAAACAGTTAAAATAGCCTATTAAATGTAATATTCACAAAATCTGTCTATTACTTCTGTTCTTCTCAAAAACAGAGAAAAGAAGTTGCATGTGTGATTTGATATTTGACTGTACAACACCTCAGAGCCATCAAATTAAATTAACTTCAGCTGTATAACAAACCCACTCTTTTGTCACTGCTTATTTCAAACATTGTTTTATGCATAGGAATTTATAAGCATTCTGCATATAGATAACATTGATTATAAAACTATGAAAGCGAACAAAGTATACAGGAAAGGATTTTATAGCCTGGTGTAAAATTGATAATAATATAAAATATTAGCTTTAGCGCATGGATGAAACGAGTACCTGTTTTCTATAAACCAGCCTAGATGCATACATAATACACACTGCTGTTTTGTATACCATACAAAAGATGCGTGCAACCTGATTTTATAGAAACCTTGCGCAGTGTGAATACCTATCGCCTCTGGTATCTTCTATACAGGGTTATCCAAATTAAGTGTCCACCATTAGTAACTTTGTTATTAGTGAAAATACAAAGTTGTTTGAATTAGCAAACTAGTAGCATTTTTAACGCTGGTAAAAATGAGAAATAAAAAAAAACAATTGAGAGTCGTTATTCTGATTTTTTTCAGTAAAATAACATTTTTTTTAAATGGAAACCCCTGTATATTATATTTTTTTCTGCTAAAGCATCAAATTTTAAACAAAAAAGTTCATAATGACTTTTCCGCTAAAGTCAAAAATAAAGTCAAAATAACGATAAATATTTTTAATTATTTGCAGTATTATAATATTAAGACGGCTATGAAAACAACATGGCGTTCGCGATTTGACAGCATTAAGATAAGCGACAAATTGTTAAACTGGACATACTCGCAACTAGAAGGCTTTGGAAAACAATGATAAAATCAAATAATGTCAAACATTAGTGTAAATACTTGTTTATAAGCTTTATTGTGTCATTTTTTTAAAGAAAAATGTTCTCCCATGAAGAAAAGTGTGATATGTTAGAATGCTATTTAGTGTGCAGAAAATCCTCCTTGAGAGCAAGAGAATACTACAGTGAATTATATCCCGCTCGCATTCAACCGTATGAACGATATTTTCTGAGACTTTATCGAAAATTTAGGGGCAACGAAAATGTTTTTGCTAAAACAAGGGCAAAAAAAGAATTCATAATAAGCGAGGCCACGGAAATTGCAGTTATTGGATATTTTGAAGCTTATCGTGAGAATTCAATAGCAGATATTCTCAAGGACTCTAATTTCAGTTATGGTACTGTTCAAAGGATTTTAAAAAAATACAAATTTATTCCGTATAAGTACCGACCAGTTCAAACGCTTTTGGCAGGGGATCCAGAGAGAAGACTTGTTTTTTGCCATTGGTATCTTAGCTTCTGTCGCCAAAATGTAAATAACTTTCGTTACCTTTTATGGACAGATGAATCAAATTTTTCAAATTCTGGAATGTTTAATAGAAAAAACCACCATTATTGGTCAAGAGAAAATCTTTTGTTAGTACATCCAAGAGGCCCACAAGTCCGTTTCAGTTTCAACGTTTGGTGCGGTATAATTGGTTCAAAAATTGTTGGCCCGTTCTTTTATGAGGGAACCCTAACTGGTGAAAGATATGTGGAATTTATGTCAGAAATTCTGACTAATTTCTTAGACGAATTGGATCTTATAAGTAGACATCATCTGCATTTTCAGCAAGATGGCGCACCTGCCCACAACTCCAGAGGTACTTATCTTTTCTAAGTACTACTTTTAATGATCAGTGGATAGGAACAAATGGCCCAATACAGTGGCCTCCCAGATCACCAGATCTAAACCCACTTGATTACTTCTTGTGGGGTTACTTAAAGAACCAAATTTACAAGCGAAGGTACGATAACCTTGACGCGTTAAAGACTGCAGTTAGGGAAAAGATAACCCAGATAGATGGTAGGACCATACTTAAGACAGTTCGAGCAGTTGAAAAACGTGCCCAAAAATGTATTGAAGAACAAGGTGGTTTTTTCGAGCATCTTCTTTAAAAAAAATTGTTATTGTATTTTGTAAGATTATAAGTTGATGTTGAAAATAAAGTTTGTCGATACAATTTAATTGTTTCAGATTGGAGGCCATAACTTCAACAATTTGTAACCTAGGAGAAAAGTTATTGTAAGCTTTTTTGTTTAAAATTTGATGCTTTAACAGAAAAAAATATAATATACAGGGGTTTCCATTTAAAAAAATGTTATTTTACTGAAAAAAATCAAAATAACGACTCTCAATTGTTTTTTTTTATTTCTCATTTTTACCAGCGTTAAAAATGCTACTAGTTTGCTAATTCAAACAACTTTGTATTTTCACTAATAACAAAGTTACTAATGGTGGACACTTAATTTGGATAACCCTGTAGAGGTGGTAGTTATGTATACAGGAGGGAAAGCAGTAGATATCCGATTGAAATGCCAAAATAGTCGTTCGAATAGCAGAAGCGTAGTAAGTCGAGCATAATTATTTATAACACTGTTTTGTGTTGTATCTGCGAAAATATTGATTGATAATACCTTAAAACAAGAATGGCACCAAACAGGTTTACTCTGTACTTCCCACGCAATTCTATTTACAATCAATTTGATTACGTTCGATTTATTTCCAGATCCTAACGCCATATTAACAATGATTCAGAAGAAATCAAAATCGAATCAAAAACTGAGAAATACCGGAGTTGATTTGCCGTATTACTGACAAGACATTGATTTTGACACGAAACTTCCAATATTCAAGGAATGATTTCAAAGCAAGATAGCAGTACTTTTGTTGAGGGTGAACTCCTTGGTTACTCACTGCACACGCCTAACGAGTTGTAACTCCGAATTACGCTGACAGAAAGCCAACTTGCACGTCTGTTGATCTGAGCAGAAATTCTCAGTGTGGTGGAGAGACATCTTTTCGACGAGCTTCGAAGTAGCAGACAGCAGACAGCAAGACGGTAATCATGAGTATATATCAGACACACTTTTTAAAATCTTATATAAATAGTACAGGGTAACCGAATAACCGCCTTCATTTAAAAAGGGTCAATTGTTGGCACCCCGGCATCATTTTCCCATTCGCACTGGGACGCGCATTGTTTTTACAACGCCAACACGTCTTTATTTAGGCCTTCTTTTATTTTTCCCTTTGTTGAATTCCACGTGGAATGCATGCGGCTGCGCCCCAGATTGCTTTCAAAGCAAATTCAAAGAACGACCATTTGAATGGGGGCAACCGGTTTGTGAGAGGTGGCTGTAATTAAAATATGAGCTTTTTTCAGATTGGGAGGTAAGTCCGCTGCTGGAGGAGTTTAATTTGTTTGAAGTAAACATCGCTGAAAGTTTCAAGTAAATAGAATGCTTATAAAACATGGAAAAATTCAATGGGTGATTTTAAAATCATTTTAGGAATGAATTAAACACAATTTTCTAATATTACGAGTAAAACTTCACAGTGTAGAAAAGTGTTCACAATAGCTACATCTAGGAAGAGCACAGGGACAGGACCTTCGTCTTTTCTTCATGGCCGTCGAATTGTATCAAATACATCAGTGTCATTCCTTATTGGGCCACGTTACTGATACTGCTGGATGGCCTCGCAGGAATCATCTCGGGTATTTGAGTCCGAAGATAGAGCCGTAAACAAAGCTGTTGCTGGATATAACTTAATAATAAATTACCACCATGGTGTATTTGAAAGAATTTGTACTATGTGTCTTGCATTCTTATTAAAGGAGAATGATATGAGATTGAGCCGCAGCAATAATAGGGTAAAGTTGGGTAATTTGTTTAAATTGCACGAAACCTCAAAGTAAAATAATTTGGCATGTTTCTGTCAAAATGCACAATTTAAGACTGATGCAAGCTGTTTTATTCAAAATGTTGCAAACGGTACAATTTATCGAACCGGTTCGTTAAGTTGTACCGCGCTGCTTTTATATTGTACCATACCAAAATGCATATGATTTTCGTTGTTAGTGGAACAAGTGTGGAAACTGAAACAACGTGATAATTTAAACATTTTAATTATCCAATTTACAATAGAGAGATTACAGAGATCATAAATAAGAAACAAAGGTGAAATAAAATTGTACTCTAACAAAATAACTCAAAACATACGTACAAATGAAAACTTACTAATCTCCAATTATGAACATATTGCATATTGATAAAACAGAAAATTATCCTTACGGCTAACTGAGAATATTTGTTTAGGCATTAAGTTCAAAGTTTCTCATTTTGTATAGTCCAACTGCTGATTTCATATTTTCCCCGCTCCATTTTCCATATTTTAAACCTTTGTCAGACATCACTGAAAAATAATACACGAGTATGTTAAATTGTACTGGTACGATTTAGTAAACCAGCTGGTGCTACGAATTACCCTACTGGTATGAATGACATAAATTACTTTATTTCTTTTTAAAAAGTGGGGTTAGATTAAATTTTACTCGCTATAGATCTCATAAAGTAATCAATAATTATAAATGCCATCCCAACTAGCAGACAGTAATTATTTGGACGTGAAGGCTTATCTAAGATTATATAATTACTGAGTAAAACATTTTTTCACAAATCAGCAAATATGAATATTCACAAACGACCGTCGGTTGCAAGTGTCTGTCAGACATGTTTTGGCGCCAGGGGTATCAAACAAGCCAAATAGATGGCGTTAGAAATCTATACTTCTTTAAAAAAGGATCGTATCCATAATACCAGCTACAGCTATTGCTAATGTTATTGACGTCGCGTCATAGATATAGTTGATAAGCGTATTCAACTACCGCTATCGGCGACAAGAGTGTGGACTGAAGGGTACCTAAATGAGCAAAACCGTGACCGGCAACACATCCCCATACAACACCATCAAAACTCAGTCGTCTGGTAGTAGTGAATGTCAATAAACTGTAACGCTCTCTTATAGCTGGGACCTTGCGTGGCATGAAGCGGCCTCATGATGTTGACGCTAGGCAAACATACTTGAGCGACCGGAAATCAGCGCTTGCAGACTTGACCGAGGTTCAAGAATATTCGAGAGCTATCTGGAGGCATCTGCTGCCATCTACACTACTTCCATGGAAGTTCGTGAAAACGCTGGAATGTTTCTCGGCTCGTCGATAGGGACATAAATATCACACTCCACTCTAAAGACACGGTGGACAGCGAGCGCGGGATTAAGATGGAATAATAGTCTAGTCGACATTGTTATAAATCAGTTGCAAGTGTTATAAATTAGTGTTAGACTGTCTTTGGACAGTAAAAACGGTGTTTTCATTACAATACTCAGTGACACAGAACATAGAACGCCCAGTAAACTGATTTTATTTGAATGAAATTTTGTATACAATTGGACATAAGCAAGAATTCTTAATCAAGTATTGAAGTGAAAACATTTGCTACATCGCTGGAATTCCCTAATAATATGTTGTGAACCCCGATATCATATACGTTCGTTGGGTATGCTTCTGAGGAGGTGATTTATATCTTTTCATCTAAACTACTTAGTTCCGAAGATTTTCTAGCAATTATGAAGGATGAGGTAAATAGGTCACTATCGTTCTCATCATACTCCACACATGTTCAATGAGCGGAAGGTCTCTCTAGGAGGCCAAAAAATGGGACTGACAAGCGTTATTGAAGTAGTTAATTGAAGCCATGTCAATATGAGTACGGGCATTATCTTCTGGTAAAATAATTATCTAAAGTTATATACAAAAGGAAATGGTGGTGTGATTCCTCTTTCCTTTTTTTTCAGGGCCAGTCAATTCAAAACAGCTGTCTAGTGGCGTGTAAATTTAGGCCGTAGCTTAATAAGGCGGGTAGGGGGGTTAAGAGCGCCAGTGACATGAGTCAGATTAATCCACAAATCCACGAGTTGTTAGTCGGAACTCGGAAAAAATCTTATTATTCAACTGCCGCACAATAAAATTATTATACCGTGATAATCAACCCTGCAAAACGTTTGCCATGGTACACGTACGAAGGCTATACAAATATTTTAACGCCTAAACCTAAGCTTATCTGAACAGTGGTCTTCTTCCAGTTGCGGTTCATAAACGCTCTGGTCAAAAATCAATGGCCAGCAGTGGGCAATGACGTGGGGATCGTCACAAAGTGGGGGGATGCTTGCCTCGTTCTCAAAATTTACTGTATAAAAACACCCTAGAGAGAAAAATCTGCTATCTATTTTCTGTCTGAGACAAAGCTACGCATTTGAACGCTTGAACTTGAAGAAAAACCATTTACATTCTCTTTTACAACAAAAGTAAAGCAAAGGAAAAAAAAGATAAAAATGTACTAAAGGAATATACCCTAAGAAAGTTCTCCCTTGTTCTACAAAAACATACGGCAGCACAAAAATCAAAATGATCAATGTATGGAGTAAGACCAAAAGAAGGTGACATGTAGGCACTGCATCATATTTGAATACGTCACACAAAATTTAGTACACTCTAAGTATTTCAATCAGCAATAATCAACATATTAATATCTATACAATACACAATTAAAATGATATTTTACCTGTTCACATCAGGGTTTTTTGTCAAGGGGGCTCCCAGCAAAATCGGCTGTAAAGCAGCTACAAGGCAGATACAAAACAAAGCTGGAGGAGTGTGAATGGTGGTTCTCCGCCATGCCTTCCCACTAAGAGGAAGCCGATATTGAACAAACTTCTTCAGGACATGCATTAATGCACGTGGTCCGATAGTATAAGAAAAGAACTTACTGATGGTTAAAATCCCATAACGAAATGAAGGGGTTAGCACCCAGATCAAAACAACCAAACGTAAGGTACAAAATAAAACGGTGCTACTCCATAAACTGGTGTTTGTGGCTCTAATATCCCAGAATCAGGAAGTTATTACCAACGAAATGACCCACACACCACAGTCTCAACAGAAAAAAAGAAAATCGCGCAGAACAACTTTTTAACAGAAGGTATCTTGATATGAAACCAAATATTCTTATATAGGTTAGAACGTAGAGAAACCACAGAGTGACACTTGTTGCCAATGGGCGGACCCTAGAAAAGCAACTCTACGAGGGACAAACGATATTTTATGATTAAATTTCTTAGGTAGTCGTTAATAATACTATAAGCTTAGTGTCCCAAATACTTCAAAAAAAATACTGAGTCGCTGAGAAAGAAAGATATAATACCTGTAAAATTATACAATCAATAAACTATGATATTTGCCACAGGAAAATCATTAAAAAGGGTTAGGTATAGAAATCGGCACTCTACCATTGATAAAGAGAAATTCAAATTACTGGTAAGTGATCAAAATAGCGAAAAAAAGGTTTTAATTTTGGCACGTGACAAGGTGAGGAACTTCTACAGTACGATGTACGTGACATTCAACTAAGAACTTTATATTACATTTTTATCTCCGAATCGTACTGACTAGTGCCCGTCCATCATGAACTCCTAACCAGAAACGGTATCGAGAAGATTGAAATGATGAATGTATAACGTTGTTTTTAGTGATGAGTGTCGGTAGCTCGGTACCGTTTAGGAACTAATGATGACGGGCACTGGTCGAAAGGTGCTACGGAGAAAGACGTCATAGAAGTTTTTCAGTTGAACATCGCGTACACCGTACTGTAGAAGTTATGGTTTCAGGCGGTATTACATGTAGTACATAGATTTCTTTAGAGGAGGTGTGACGGCGCAACGTTTTATCCAGTCGATACTGCAGTCTCATCTTTTGCCATTTCTCCTAACGCTTGAGAAAGTCATTTTCAAACACAATTATGGTCGTCCCCTTATTGCTTGAGCCACTATAAATTGCATCAATAACGCTCAAGTCAAACTCACTCCATGGCCCCTGCACATCTTCCGCCCAATGATCATGTATGGGATATGATGAAAACAAGAGAGGCATATTCAGCCTATCCTCCACATATTCTAGCAGGTCTTTGGAACTAAATTATACAGTTATACAGCCTGCGATGAGATACCTCAAGAAGACATAAATCACCTTCCCTGAAACATGTTCCCACGACTGGACAAAAGTATGCAGCGTTGGGGTGGTCCAACACATTATTGGGGAAATCCAGCAACGCTTTTTACTTCAAAACTTAATCTCAACTCTGTTAATTATATCCAAAAGCATATTGTATAATTTCAATCAAAAAGATATTTTTTAGTGGGCGTCCTATTTTCTTTGACACTAAGTATCTCTCTATGTATATTATAAAAGCACTGATGTCACGAAATGACGAAAACAATTAGACTTATGAATATGAAATTAAGCAGGGCAGTATTTTATATCAAGGGCATGCTAA